GGGACTCCGGGACGCCGGGGCCCACCGGCTGGTAATTCTATTCACATCTTCAAGGAAACCGAGAAGGGAAAGCGAACACCGAACGGTGCTGTTTTCGCTGCACTGTGCAGACGCAAGGACAAGCCGCGGCGGAAGAAGTTAATAAACAGTCTCCGGGTTGCAGGTTCTCCCAACGCTGCCGATCAGAAAGCCTTGCATCGCTAAATGGTGTGTAATTAAAAATATTTTTAAAATCCTCCTTGACAGACCCGGGGCTTAGCCAAAATGTAAATGACATTAAAGAAGACAATGAATTTAATTTTATTTAATGTCCCTTTTTGCAGATCCTCATTTACATAGCATTTTTAACAAAAGCGTTGACCTTATAAATGCTGGCATTTGTACAGCTCCCTCGCAGTTGGATTTAATCACGCCCGTGCAAAGCCATGAGGGAGGAAGCTTTAAGTTCTGTGCTCGGAGATGGAGTGGAATGAAAACACGGGGACTGGTCAAATGTTTATCCTCCTGCTTCTGAAAACAACCTGACAAGAAGATGTAAGGGCTGGGGAATAACCCGGTGCTGTTTGTAAGGCTCGGCAATAATCATACATAATCGTTTGGAAATATAGCTAATAAAAAATATAATGAGTGCTCAGCAAAATCGGCATTAGGCCCAAATTACAGGATATTAATACTTGAACAGGTGCAGAAAGGCGCTTTAAATGAGGTAAATGAATAAAACGTCCCAGAGCACAACTGTGTGCTCTGACAAAAAGTCAATGCTATGAATAATTCAGCGGGGAGGACCGCCAGCAAAGGTCGCTCTCTTTGACCTTTGTGACAGGAAGTGAAAGGAAACACTGTTGACTAAAAAAAAAAAAAAAAAAAGGAGGGGGGGAGAGAAAGAAAGAAAATCTCCAATCGGTCTTCAGCTACCGGGCTGCAATCACTTAAAGGTGTAAACCCCAAACTCGTGAAGGCAGGAGACAGGCTCTGGGGCCGCGTGGGTGCGGGGCCGGGGTGGCCCGGGTTTGGGCGCGAGGAAGCACATGAGATCGCAGACAATGGGAGGTTAAGTAAATAGTACGGCTCTGCAATCCAGCCTCAGTTCTGTGCAGAAATCTGAGGTCGGCTGGAAAGTATGCTCAGCGCCCACAGGGCTGATACTTTGTAGCAGCTGTTAAATATGACAAACTTCGCTCCCCTCCCCAACTCCAGCCGTTCCGAACTCCGTATGAAAGAAAATGGGATAAACAGATGTCTGGCTTCCAGACAGGAAAGTAGGACAGACTTGGAATGACAAGTCTCCCGAACTCCACAGCCTGATGCCAGACTCGCCGGGGAGGGGGCCTGCCGCCACGGGGTTGCCCGAGCTCGGGCCGCCGGAGACCCTGCCATCTGGAACCGCCCTGCCGCGCGCTCTCCCTCCGGGCGCTGCGTGGGGCCGCGTGGGACCCGCCCGCCCGGACGTCCCGGCACCCACGGCTTGCCCGCCCGGTTGCGACAGTTGGACCCTGGGCCCTGGTCCACGCGGCCCGGCGGCAGTGGAGGTAAGAGCATGTGGCGTGTCCGCAGGGCCTCGGGTGACACCCCAGGGTGGGATGGCACGGGAGACAACGGCCGAAGTGTGGTTTTGGTTTAGCGGCTACACCGACATCCTGTAATCATTCACAGCCCTTGGAATGCACGGGTGAAACGGGGGAGATTTATCTGTTCGTAGTCGGGCCGTGTGGACAATGGGTCCTAATGAAGACCATCTGCTTCTGTGTTTGCCCAGAAAACATTATTCCACGAGGAAAATGATACCCCGTCCTTTTCAGCAATACCATAAAACATGACGTGTGTGTGTGTGTGTATGTGTGTGTGTGTGTACACACACAAGCGTGTACGTGGGGGGTGTGCATGGTGCGGACACCCAGGTGCCCCCTTGTTCCGGGCTCCCTGCAGGCCACCGACGTCCGCCCGCACACAGGCCGTCCGTCCACCACAGTGGCTCTGTCCTGACCAGGCTCCCAGTGCTGGTTCCTCCTTCCCCCCCAGAAGTCGTCACGTTCTTTTAAAGGCACTGCAGTATAATTATATTTGCGGAGCTATAAAAGATGGTTTCTCTAGCATTGTTTTACGAGGAAGGGAACAGCTAAGGTAAGTGAAACCTTCCCAGGAAAAGGGTTTTCTAATGCAGAACCCCTCACTTTTCCCTCTTCTTAACTCTGAGGGTCTTCCACGCTGTTCAGGAGTACTTAATGCTCGGGAAAGATAACCGGACTAAATTGTGTAATTAATTGATTTAAGGCGTCAGAGTCCACAGAATGGGATTTGCCTGCCTGAGCGGGGAGCTGCCCTCTCTGTCCTCACAGCCGAGAAGTGGGCTCGGCCTGCCGGAAGGGCCTCCGTGTGGGCTGGGACCAGTGTGGGCCCATTGATCTCAATTCAGGTTGGAGTCATTGGTTTATATCCTCAGGACAAATATGCCTTATCTGGTCAGAAACTGCTAAACGCATCCAAAGGCCACCAGGAGCCAGCGAAGCACGTTGTAGATAATTCTTTTTTAAGCCAACTAACCAAGTAATGACAGCGCTGATGAGGACCTGTAGGCTGGCCGCCCGTCCGGCGCGGTGCGGCGCGGCACTGCACTGCGCGGCGCTCCGGGGGCAGCGCGGGTGCCACACTCCACGGGAGCCACCGACGTCAGGGGGCAACGCTCGCCCCGCAGACACGATTCTCATCCCGGAAGGGAGACGGGGCAAAAGGCCGCATCTCTCTGGAAAGATGGCCCCTCCACCGGAAACCCTCCTGTCTCCAATTCACACAACTTGCCAGAGTGAACACTAGATGCTTCATGCATCCCCCCGCACCCCCCCCCCGAAACGAGCCTTGTCCTGAAGATGGTGCCACCGCTGCAGGCAGAACGCACGGGTTTTCACGGAGCAACCAAATGCGAACAGTACTTCGTCATTCCAAGTGACAGCTCTCTCCACGATGGCCGAGTGCACACCTGATTGGTCACCGTATAACACCAGCCTCACCTCAACACCCCTGGCATGGGAGGCGATTAGAATTCCTATAAAATTGTCGTATCTTTGAATTTAGAGGCAGAGCAGATTTCTCATCAATAATTAAGACCCCCCAAGCCTCTGTGCCGGGCACACACCGGACCAAAGCCCTCCTTATTCAAATAAACTCGGTAAGCCCACTAACCAAATGTTTTCATGGTTTTCCCTCCTCTCGTGCATCTAGAACACCAGATGCTCACTCACTTCTCTCAGGTTAGAGAGGTTTCAGCAATCCGGGCACATATTTTAATTAACCAAAGATAAGAGAGCGTGCACTCAGACCAGAATTAACGAGTCTGTTTCTGCAGAGGTAGAGACGATGCTGCCGCCAGTGTAGCAAGAACTGAGTGCTAAAGATTACTCGGTATTAATAGTCAATAAGTGACGGACTGTCACCCAAAGCCGACGTGATGCTGAGGGGAAAACCCATCCTGCGACCCGCTGGTGGAATCAACACGGCCACTCCATTACCGTGCCGCGCTGAACACCTCCCGGTTTAAAAACAAGTCACCTTTTCAAAGGCACCCGCGTCACAAATTGAAGACAACTCACGAGACGAAATACTTCCCCGCCCTGCACCGCAAGGAAGCCCATGCGGCCTCCTGGAGCATCTTACAGCCAGACAAGGTTCCCAGGCTGTTCAAACACTTCTAGCCAATCACAAAAACAAAATAAATGCAGGGACCAGACAACCAACCAACGCTGGAAGATATCCGTAGCCACCACACTAAAGACAAATATAAGGGTATTGATTTTTTTTTTAGTTGGAGTTCAGTACAGTGTTGAGCCTGTTCTCACTGGCTGAGTGATAGCCACAACTGGGCAGCCCTATTTGATTACTAATAAGAGAGCCGTCCCTGCAGTCAGATACCAAACGTTCCCCACTAAGCAAACAGCTATTCCAGCTAGTTCAACATTAGCATTTCTCCCCACTGGTGGCACGGATTTCTCTAGGCTTAACTCGGGGAGTTTTCCGGGTTTAATTTTTCAGACGCTGGACAGCAAAGTTCACGATCAAAAGATAACTTTGCAATGAAAGCAGCTGAAATCCAACCCCTCTTCAAAACAGGCTAAACCCCTGCTTCACAAAACCAGTGTCCCATGTGCACGGCCGGCATTTACCCGAGGCGGGTGCCCCCATCGCACCCCGGGCCTTCTGCTGCTGCCACCCTCGGTTGGGGAGAAGGAGACCCTCCCCCGTCCAGGCCACAGAAACCCGGCAAGGGGGGCGAGAGTGGTGTTTTTGTTGTTTCAACTGCAGCAACACCAAACCCACAGAAACACTGCTAGGACCGAGCAGCAGCCTTTGAAGGCTGCGATGTGGCCCAAGGAACCTGATAAATGGCAAGGTGAAAGGCAGCAAATGTAAAGAATGCATACAGCTCATCTCGTTATGGAAATTAATGTTGGAAAATGTAACCAGCATGTGTAATTAGTTTCAATTATAGCAACTTCGGTTTGTTAGTTACATATTTGCTACTTGACATAAAACGACAGCCACAATTGGAAAAAAATTAGGAGACATTTTGTAACTAATTGAGAGCAGATTAAATTCATTCTAACGCTGGGCAACAATGACAACTGCAACACCACCCAAGTCTCCACGTCAGCTCTCATCCCAGATAAAAATAACATAAAAATGAAATACTTGTTAACAAATTAGCAAAAAGCAGTCTATGACATATCTCTGGGTTTAAAGCCAGGAACTCTCTAGGCATAAAGTGCTCCTCACAGCGAGAGCGGTGGCAGATGAAACCGCTTCCCCTGACAACTGGAAAGCAATTACCGAATCCCCACAGAGCCAGCCTCCAGGTTTCCAAGTCAACCCACCTGTGCGTGGTAACGCGGGCGGGCAACAAACGCCGGGAGGCGCGCAGGGCCAGGCAGCCACGGGGAACCAGAGTCAAGGCAAAGGCTGTGGCTGGTGCTGCGGTTTGGTTTCGAAAAGAGGAAAGAAGTCATCCTTACCTGTCAATGATTACAGGGTCTGAGGGTGTCTCGTTTCTATTGCCACAGCTCTTCTTGTCACAGCACCGGCTGCGGAGCAATGGTGAACAGGGGTTTTAATACACATTTCATGCTTTTATGCCTGACTTGTAATTTTTTTTTTTAAGTCTGACAGGAGAGAGGCTGGTGTCAACAAAACAAGTTACCCTACCCAGGCCCGCTCAGCACATTTAAACCCTGAGAGCTCACGTGCGCTGTGGCTAAACTTAGGGTGTAACTTTCTACCCCACCGGAAGGAGCGGAAGGAGTGGGGCTGAACAAATCCAGTCCTAGGAGGCGGGTGACAGCCCCGCCGTCTGCATGGTGACGCTCCAATACTGAGGACATGTTGTAGGTGTTTGTCTTTGCAGTGAACTGAGGAGGGAGGTGGGAGACTGGGGAATAGCTTTTCACAGCTTCAGCTTTTGTTTACCTCTAATTGTCAAGCTGTTATTTCTGGGGAAAGACGCACGATGCCACCTTCAGCCAATATTTCTTTTGGGCATTTATTAATTATAACCACAAAAGCACGCATCCATCTATCAGAAACTTCTATTGTCCCTCCTCTAAGCCCACCTTAACTCTGTTATTGAAACTTTAATTAAAGCAGAAATGAAACAAAAATGTTATGCTTCTTGCATTTTAAAAAAGCATACTTGTATAATGGTTACATGTCTAAATTAGCTAAATTAACACCATATGGTAGGCAAAGTATATAAAGCCTTTTAAAGCTGACAGCTAAAGTGATTAAAGAAAGTCTACAGTCTTCCACTCACAGCCTAAATCACATCTGTGCGCTTTCTGTGTTAATTGCAGAACATGCAGAAGTGGATAATAAAGAAATTCCACTTTATTGGTTGTAATTTATATTTATTACCTGATATGAGAAAAAGTCAGCTTTTGTATATTAGCGCTGTAACAATATGTCTGCTCAGAAACGGCGCTCAGGCAGCCGGCTCCGCAGCCAGGCAGAGCCTGCCCGGCCGAGCCCGCGCCCGCCACCGTCGCCCGCGCCTGCAAAGCAGGTCCTTGTTCCTCCTCCCGACGACGTTTCACAGGCCGCACATGCAAAGTCAATGACGCATTTTTATTTGCCATGTCGGGGTGAAACTCTGGTGGCAGTTAGGAAAAAACAGGTGGGAAAGGGCTCTTCCGACAGAGATTTCGGGGAAAGGCGCCGGGCTGCCCTGGGGAGGAGGTGAGCCGGCCGCGCACTCCCGGTCCAGTCCTCGCGCCCGCGGCGCCGCCGGGAGAACGGGGGCGTTTCCTCCTCCCGGCAGCCGCCGGCTGCGCTGCGCGGCTCGGACACGGCGCTGCAGAGGAGGGTAACCAAGGGACGCAAGCGATCCCTGGCTCCTCGGCCCCCAGGACACCGCAGCGACACCGCCCACGTATTTATCGGCTCCGAGAGCAGCCGGTGGCGGGGACCCTGGTCACGGGGGGAGTGAGCCGGGCTCTTGGGCTGCGGCTTTCGGCCGACCGATTACATTTCAATCGAAGCCCATCCCGAAGCCGAGCGGGCTGGCGGCGCCAGGGCGCGGCGTCCTTTGTAGCCGCAGCTGGCGCCGAGGCCCCCGCCGCCCGCCCGCCGCCCGCCCGCCCTCCGCTCACCTGCACATGATCTCGTGGGTCAGCAGCACGCGGCACATCTCCGGGTTCTTGTCCTGGCCCTCGTAGACGATGGCCTGAGCGGGGACAAGCAGAGGCGGAGGTTAAGCGGCGCCCCGGCTTTGGCGTCCGTCGACCAGGCCTCGCCAGGCGGCAGGTGCAAGGCGGGCAGGGGAGGCGGCGCGGCCCAGCCACGCCACGCTCCCGCCGGGTCACCCGGAGCCGGGCTGGGCCAAGGCCGCCTCTTCTCCCGGGCGCCCTCCGGGCCTGCGCAAGCCCTTCGGCTGGGAGGACGCGGACCGCGTGGGCTGGGGCAAGACCAGGACACACGGAGCCAGGGCGCATTGGCACTGACCCGGGCACACGGGGCTGCCGAGCCGCATCCTCGGGCCATTGTCTGATCCGGGCTCCACAGTGCGTGTTGGAAGAGGCCGCTGAGAACACGCTGGGACTAAAGAAGCGGCCATGGCCGGGCTGGGCCAGCGGTTTGCCTGGAGTTCAGGGCCGCGCCCGCCCTGCGCGCTCCCCGGGCGCGTTCCAGCCCAGGTACCAGCGGTGGGCCGCCCGCCGGGCCCAGCCGCCGCCTAGAGTCCGCAGGCGGCCTACCAGCCGGGCCACGCCGGGCTCTGCAGGCGGCAGGCGGCCCTGGAGCCGGTCAGCAGCAGTCGCACGTGGCCTCGGCCCGCCCAGGCCTGGCGGACGCTCCTCAGGCGGCCCGGGGCGCTCGCCCCACGCGGCCACGTGCTCCTCGCTGGGTAATATTGGGAAAGAAAGTGCTAATAGCCAATCTGGTGTTTATTTTGAAACTGCTAACAGTGATTTTTCTCGGGTAAAAAGGCAGTGTCTGCGCACACGCTCGGGTGGGTTTCGAGCAGAGGCTCCGCCAGATGGTGCGCAGCCCTAGGTGCGCTCGCCCCCACCGCACCCCTCTCCGCGCCGGACCGAGCCGGCGCCCACTCAAAAAAAAAAGGAAGAAAAAGAAGAGAGAAAAGAAAAAGAAGGGGAAAGGCCACCGGAGGAGAAGCAGGGGGCGGGGGCGGGAGCCACACGTTCCGGGCAGAAAATTCTACCGAAGGGGGAGGGGAGCCCTCTCCAGTTCCCGCCCCCCTTCAAAAAATTATCTGGAAATTACTTCCAACCTCCTCAGGCACTTCTGACGCTCTCCGCCACTTCCAGGTGGACAGAGTCCTTTCTCGAGGAGGCCAGGCTGCCCTCTGGGAAGAGGACAGGGTCCCCGGGGCCCCCTTTGCCACAGCCTCCCTCCGAGGGGCTCCAAAGCTCCGAAGCTCGGAGTCATCGCAGGCCAAAGGCCGCCTGGGGCTGCAGGGCCGGCGGCTGGCACCAGCTCTTCTGAGAGCGCGCTTGTCTTCCGATGGAGCCCCGTATTTATATTTGATTTATTTTTTATTTTGTAGCACAAACAGAAATCCATAAACTGTCGGTTCAGCGCCATTGACTCTTTGATCAGTTACTGGGCTATTTCTTTCCCTTCCCCCCCCCAATCCCCGTCAGTGAGAGGAGATTAAATGCCTTTATTTTCAGCCCTGTTTATACTGCAAAGGTCCGTGGCTAAATGAACAATAAAAGTGAACTTGAAACAAACCCTCCTCCCTGTGCAACAAGGAGACTTAGAGCTGCCTGCATGAACCGCTAATTACATGACAGCGATTCCCCGAAAACATCAGCCCTTACATACAAAGAAATAAGAGCCCCTGTCACAGAGCGACCTGGCTCCCACAGGCTTCTCTGAATCCGAGGCAAATAATTACCGAAGGGCACACAGCCCGTCTTTGTCAGAAAAAAAGCGCACTTTACCTGCCAGGTCTGTTTTACTCTACGAGAAAACCACCCCGTGTTCCCGCCGAGACGTAAAAACCTACCACGCTCGTTGCCTAGGCGAGGACAAACTTTCCGAAGGGGAAGGAGAATCGGGAAGCTGCCTGCCTGCCTGCCTGCCTGCAGGGTGGGAGGCCTGCGGGCTGGGGTGCAGGAAGCGCGGAGGGGTTGGCTTTTTCGGGCTGCTACTCTCAAAGTTCGCCTCGGAGAGGCGGGCGCCACTTTCCTCTCCAAGCCTGCAGCCCAGCTTGGAAGTATATTTTAAATCAATCTGTGCCGAGTGGATTTAATTTGCACATTGGACTTTCCCTTCCCCCAACCCTCTATTTTTAAGAAAAGGAGGGGAAAAGTCTGTAAAGCAACCAAACGGCAACATACCACCCAGCACAAAACCAGCCGGAGGCTGCACGATGCCAGAGAGCTTTCCCGCCCTCAGTGGCATCGCCCAGAGCCCAGCAGTTATCCTCGGGAAAGTTGACCAAGACAGGTTAAATAATTTAATAAGGAACTGCCTGTAATTATGTTATTTACAAGGGATGACAGAGGGTGGGAGAGGCAACCGGAGCTGCTCCCTGAGCGCGGGCGGGTTGGGGTGACCCCTGGAGATCAGAGTTTGAATTATGGAGATGGGGGGCCGAGAGGTGAAGATGGACTAGAGGAGAACAAGGTGACTTTTCACCCCAACACATTTAACTTTTAAATCCAAATAAACGTCTCGTGTTACCAGACCGTCGCACGGGATAGGAGAAAAATGAACTAATCAAGCCCCGCTCAGTGGGCTTTGGGAAGGGTTAGTTGCCATTGTTACAGAAAAGAAGAAAATCAATGAAATGATTCCAAGGAGAAAGAAAAAAACATTCAAAAAAACATACAGAAGGGGGCATCTTGGAATTTTTCTGTCAAATATTAATTACCACAATTAATTAAGAGAGACCTTGAATCCAACCACAAGCCATTTAATAAAGCATTGTCTGTCCTGTTCTATGACAACAAACTATTTTGCCCATCACTCCATTTATCCCAGTAAATGTGGAATTCTCATTAACACGTCAAGGAAACTAAGTGCAAAACAAAAGCAGCAGATCCATTTGTCAGTCTGCTAGTCTGGGGCCCCGGACAACCCCAGCTGAGCACTGAAAAATCGGAGCCGAGGTTTCAACTTGCTCACCTGTTTGGTCATTGAATCTATGAGGCGGACATACAGGTCCTGCTCTGTTCTGACTCCTGGGGGGGAGAAAAAAACAGAGACAGGTTCTCATCAGGGTTCGGGCAAGGGCACCGGGCACAGGAAGTCCGGCGCTCGGGGTGCAGCCGCGTGATGCAGCAAAACCCAGGCGTGCCTTCAACCGGCGAGCGAGCGAGAGAACCCCGTCACTGCTCACTGTGTGTTTTTTCTTTTCTTGATTAAGGACCTTAAGACTCTCAGGGTTTGCCCTGCAAGGTGCAAGACAGTGTGTGCAGCTGGGAGCAGGCCTGGCAGCCCCGCCGGTGGGCCTGTGGGGTCATTTATTTTTAGGAAACAGAAAGCAAGACATGAAGCAGAGTCTGAACTCTTTCAAACGTCTCTCGAGGATTTTTTAAAATCTCGAGGCCAGGAAGTAAGTTATGCCTGGCTCACAGAGCTACCCCCATCTCAATAATTAACATTAATTTGCAAAATTGAAAAAAGTCACTTAAAAGTGATGTTCAGCTGGAGCCTCTATCGATCTGCTTTTTACTTTCTACTTCAAGCCCCGCCGGTTAATCATGGGAAGTGCCATCGACTTATCGATCGTTTCTGTTTTGTTTCCCTTCTATGCCACGAGAAGATTTCGTGTTTACATCCGTGTCATTTTAATCTCAAAATCTTTATGTCCTTTAAGCTTCTCGGGAAAGGAGAGCGAGCTGGGCAGGGGCGGGGAGGCGGGCAGCGGCCACTTACCGTTGCTGTACAACAGCTGGAGTTTGTAGTGAATGCCGTTGTTGGTTTTCTCGTTGTTGGGCTCCTGAAAGTAACGATAAATAATCGCATTTAGTGCGGTCGGCGTCCGCGCGGCCACGGCGCTCGGTCCCCCTGCAAGACCGAGGCCCCGTGGCCTCACGCAGGGCAGGATTCCTCTCTCGGAGCAGCGCGGTGATGTCACTTTCCTGCTGGCGGCCCAGCGCCCTCCTGGCCCCGCACAAGTACGGGGGCGCAGAGCAGCCGCCCGGCCCTCGGCGGTCCGGCCGCGCACGTGGCGGCGGGGGCTCCTGGCCGAGCCGCCCCTCCGCCGAGGGGGGCTCTCCGAGCCACCGGGCTGGGGCGCCGCCTGCCTCCCACTTCTAGAAAGATGGAGGGTGTGATCGCGTGCCCGCACTTACTTTCTCTTTCTCCACAAAGTCCACAAACGCGGTCCTCTCGATCTCCACCGGCTGCCCCTGCCTGTCGTAGAGCGCCAGCACGAAGTGGAAGAAATTGGATTTCCGGAGGTTGGAGGGCGGCTGCTTCTCGAAGTGCGCCCGCGCCAGCCCCACGCCGCTGCGGGAGGAAAGAGACAGCGGCCCGGTGAGGAGCGCGGCTCCGGCCGGCCTCGGGGACCCGGCGGGGCCGGAGCGCGGGCCGGGGCGCGCGGGGCCGGCCGGTACGTACCTCTGGGCAGCGGTGTTGGCGTCCACCACCCCCGCCGTGTGCATCCACGAACGCACCGGGTTCATGCCGCTGCCCAGCGGCTCCTCCTTCATGGTCGTCCCCCCGCGCGGAATGTTCTCCTGGATCCCAAACATGAAAACTGCTGGCGGCGGCCGCCGCTCCCGGCCGAAAGCGCTTCCGCGAGCAGCGGCGCTCGGGGCTCGGCGCCTGCGGTCCGGCCCGCCGCCGGCTTCAGCCCGTCCCGGGCAGGCGCGACATACACCGGCGGCCGTGCGCTCCGGACGGCCGGGGGCGCGGGGGCGGCTGCACCGGCGGCTGCACCGGCGGTGGCGGCGCTCCGGAGAAGCAGCAGAAGCAGGACGCGCGGCCAGGCGCTGCTGTTGTTGTTGTTGTTTGCAGGCGCGCTCAACGTGGTGTCATCCTAGCCGGGCGGCGTCCGCGGCTGCAGGACACTGCGGGATCGTCCGCTTCTGGCGCGGCCCGCCTGCTCCAAAGACAAATAAACGGGGCAGTGAGAGCCGCGGCGCAGTCCCGGGCGCAGGCGGGGCGCGGCGGGGCCTGGAGCGGCGCGCGCAGCGGACGGAGGCGCACAAAACTCAGCCCTCTCTCCCCGAGGAATGGACCCTTTCCCGGGAGCCAAAACTCGAAGCCCCCGGGAGCGGCGCTGTCAGAGGGTGACGTCGGGGGGCGGCGCCTGCGCCATATATGGGAGCGGCCGCCCCTCGCCGCGCCCCTCGCCTCCTCCGCCGCGCTAGCCGACTGACTGCCTGACGGCGCGCGAGCCGGCCCGAGCCCGGCGAGCCCAGCGAGCCCCGCCGCCGCCGAGCGCCGCCGAGCGCCACCAAGCGCCACCAAGCGCCGCCGCCGCCCCCAGCCACGCTCTGCGGCTCTTCGCGCCCACCCGCAGCCAAGGAAGTTACTACTCGCCCAAATAAATCTTGAAATGAAACAACCAGTGCACGATTGCAGCGTGGTCCCCCTAATACCTTCTCCCCAAATCACAGAGACAGTCAGAACACGGCAGAAAGGAGGGGGTGACATGCCGAGGCGTCCCGACTGGCACAAACGCACGCGATAAATGCAAGGGGCCGCAGCCCGCCCCGAGGCCGCCCAAGGGGGCAAGTGGGTCGAGGAAGGCCGGCCGCAGGGAGGGAGCCGGCGGGGCGAGCGACGGGCGGGGGCGGCAGCAGGGGAGCAGGGCTCCCTGGCCCAGGCGGGGCGCTCCGCTCAGCCCAGCCTCGGAGCAGACCTGAGGCTGCTGGGGAGGCAGGTCTGCCCCGATCTGGGCCTCCCCGGACGCCCGTGTCGGCTGCCTCGGCTGAGGCCGCCGAATGCTGGGCTAGGGACCCACGTCGGAGGCGGGCTTTGCCGGACGCTCTCCTTCCCGGTGGCCACGGGAAACCCGGTCCCCCGCGCCTGTCTTTAGGCGCCGCGAGTGACAAAGAAGGCTCCGGGCTCTCCGGCAGGACAGGAAGCGGGCCCGGCCTGTCAGGCGACCTGGAGCCGGGTGTCAGGCTGCGCGCCCTGCGCGGTGCCCAGACCTCCCCGGCGCCAGCAGCTCTAAAAGCCGAGCGGACGCCGCGGGCGCCCCGGTCCTACCCTTGGTGCCGCTGGGCCCGGGTAAGCGCGCCGCGCGCGGCTTCCCGACCTAGTTTCGAGGAATCGGGAGGGCGGCGGGGCGCCGGCAGCGCGTGGGCCGGGCGGCCCGGCTCCCGCAGCACGGACTCGGAGCCCAGGCGCACAGCCCGCCCAAAGGACATCTGCGCGGCTGGGACTGGAGACCCAGGGGACCACCGAGAGCTGTGCTGGCACTTCCCTGTCGAGAGAAATCAGGCTCTTTTGATTAAAACAAACAAAACCCAAACAGGTTACAGGGTGCAGGAGTGTCGGGTCGCGGGGCAGCCTCTTCCCCCAGGGCCTGGGGCAGCAGTCCCTTTTTTATGAATTGGCAGTGTGTGTGCGCTAATATTTTAATTAATCGGGAAAATCGAAGTCCGATTCACATTATCTGGGGACCCCCCAAGCCTCTTGGAAGGGGTGAGAAACAAGACGTGTTGGAAAGCAATCTATTTTGCTGGTGTTGGGGGTTAATGACTATTGCCGAAGATAAGTGAATTATCAAAGCTGTTGTGCGAGTCCCATCTCAAAATCCATTACGGTGCCGGCCGTCTAATTAAATACGTAAGTATAATAAAATCATATTTTATGACTATTTGAGGGTAATGAGATTAGTCTTTAGAAGCGATCGCCACGTATTAAAGATGCCACTGTATAGAATGTTAATAACCCTAAATCAAAGTGTATGGAAACTATTCACGATAAATTAAAAGAAAATTTCTGTATTCCTAGTAAGCCCAGAGCTTTCCCCCACCGCGGGTGGGGGGTGCGGGGGAGCACTGTCCTCTCGCAGGGAGGACGCAAAATAAAGTTGGCCATCAGTGGAGGGTGGGGTTGAGAAGTCGCTTTGTCTCCGAGAGTCTAGCTGCCGGGGGGCTCCCGGCAGGGCCAGCGGCCAGGCCGGCGTTATTGTCAGAATATGCAAAATGCCTTTTCGGGAAAGATGAAGTTAGAAATCGGAAACAATGCCGTCTTTGTGGCACACTTCCTAAAATGCCCGGCCCGCACTGGAGGTGCCCGCTTCCTTGCACTAACGAAAGCACCCTGCTTCAAATCATTTACAGTATCTTTAATTCAGATTACACGCACCAAGGCGATTTAAATCTGATTACCAAATTAGAAGGTTTAAAAACAAATCCTTCTAAATCTGATACTGTTGACTAAAGAGGGAAAAAAAGTTCTCTAAGCCCCTCACATAAGGTAACGATCCTGCCCCAGAAAGAAAAGGGGTTTTAAACCTTTTTGACAACAAATGCAGCTGCCCCACTGTTTTGGACGATATTAAGCGAAAATGAATGCAAATCTGTGTTCAGCAGCCATCTGGCCCGAAATGGGGGAATCAGCTGCTCTCACAACAGGCTCGGAGGCTGAATCCATTTCAGCTCATTTTCTAGATCATCTGGTCCCGCACCCAAAGCGTGGAAAATACGGCCTTTATCATTCACCAACTTTATCTTTTTTGTCACTCCGCTGCCGGCTCGGAGCGGCGAGCGCGAGGACTGGCCGCCCGGGCAGGGTCTCGGCCCGGGCCTGCTGCCGGGCAGCCGCGGAGCGCAGCCTCCTCGGCCCCCGCCTACCCCTGCCCCAAGGTTGACGGGGCGGGAGCCGAGGCGGAGAGGAGCGCGGGCTGGAGCACCCAGGCCGCGTGGGGGAGGGGCCGCAGGGCGATTCCTGGACGTCTGGAGAGAGGCTGCGAGCGCGTCCCTGCGCCCGGCGCCTCCCGCGGGAGCGCCGCTCCACCCCCTCCCTTTCTAGGGAACTAAGGGCGCCCAACATCCAGGTACGGGAAGCCGAGGGGAGGGCAGGCTGGCACTTTGGAAGTTGCGCAGGTCCCCCGAGACCTCCGGGCCAGAGTCGGCGCACAGAGCGCTCCCAGGGGGCGGCCGGGCGGAGCCTGACCTTCCTGGCAAACCCCGGGCCGCGAATGCGCAGGCGACCGCTCAGGGCCCCGCTCTACGCGATTTGCACTGGTGGCCCTCGCGCTGCCGCCGTCTCCATCACCGCCGCCTCCTCCTCGGAGGGTGGGAAGTATTCCTTTTGTGCGGATTTACGGGGAGAGGCTTCAATGAGCCCCCTCACATTTGCATTTAAATAGCGGCATCAAGCGCTTCGCGTGCCACACACCAGTGGGCTCCCAGATGTCACGCCGGAGTCAGTCAGATGGCCAGTGCCCAGCTGTCCTCCCCACGTCGTGCCGGAGCAGACAGTGACCTCAGAGAGAGAGAGAGCCCGCGGCCCCTGGAGTCTTGCTCCGGGAGCAGCGGGCGGGGCGCAGGGCCCGGGCAGCGCGTGGCCTCCTAGCCGCTGCACCAGCAGAGGCTGAGCGGGGTGGTATAACCGTGCAGCGCCGCACCCAGGCCCAGCCCGGCCTCCCTGCCGGGGGCGCAGTGCCAGTGCCCCCCGCCTTCCCCCGCCGCACAAGCCAAGGCCCTCTGCCTGCGCCCACTACCCACCCGCTGGAGGGGGGCTGTTCGGCGCATGCCAGGCGTAAACTTTCCCTCACCTCCCCAGTTCGGGGTCCAACACCGCAGCCTGGTGCCAGGCCTGGAGAGCAGGAGACAGGCTGGTACTGTTCTCCAAGCCACCCAGAAACTTCCCCCAAGTTGGGGGTTCCAGGATGCGAGGCCGATTCCAGGAGCTGGAGCCGGCCCAGTGTCCCCGGCACTCGGGGGACGCCCCTTCTTGCTCCCTGTGGAGCCTGAGAACCTGTCGACCACCCTACCAGCACGTGATAAAGTGCATTTCCGGCGGGGAGAAGCCCGGGCAGGGGGTTCCTGGAAGCCAAGCACCCAGAGAGATCAGGGGCTTGCCGGCCCAAACGGGCGAGGAGCCCTTACAGGGCCTGTGGCCTCAGGCCCAAGCTACTCAGCCAGGCCACGTACAGGGCTCCAAACAGCCCGAGTGCCTAAGGCCCAGGGTTCCCAATCCCGCAGCCAGCGCACAGCTGCCCGCTCGGCTGCCCCCACGCCCTGCTCCCCCAGGGGTCACACTCAAACCACACCGACTACCCCGTCTCCAGCCCGGTTTCTGCCTGGGGCCGAGGCCTGTGCGGCAGAAGCCAGGAGAACCCAAACCGATACCAGACTGACCTTGGGCCGGCAAGGGCAGGAGGCCTCAAGGGCCTGGAGAACCGGAGAACAGGGAGATTCCGGGAGGACGCGCCTAGAAAGCGTGGTGAACTGCGGGAGAAGGTGGAACGACCCGCCCGCACTGGCAGACCCTGCCCCCTACGGGTCAGTCACTCGGCCCCCAAGTGCACCGGGTCTAGCCATGCGGGGCAGGGTCACGCAGCCCACGGGCCCGGAGGGGGGGGTGGGAGATAGCTCCACACTCAGATCACCCCAACCCGCTAAGTTACGCAGAGAGGGGGGCGGGCCAGGTTCAGGTGGGCCTTTCAGGCCCAGAGAAGGTGCCTCCGTCCTCTCTGCGCAGAGATGGCAGCCACCGGCCCCTGCAGAGGCACGTGGTGACCGGACCCAAGGCAGGCCAGCGACCAGCTTGCTCTGGGAGGCCAGTAACTAGGCACTGCGCCCGAACCACGGGGGCACACCAACCGGCTCCGCTCCCCTGCGGTAGAAAGCATGAGGCCTGGCAGGAGTCACAGGTAAAAAAGCTAACTCTGAAGGGTCTCAGGCCCCTGTTCTTTGCAGCC